AACTTCGTCCGTAAGCTTTTCTCTCATTAAGCCATGGACAATTTTGGCGATCTGCTCATTTATAGCAGGAGCCTTCTTTTGATCAAGTTTGAGATCGTTCGCAATGCCTGACAGTAGGTCAATTTCCCCATCAGGAACATCACGCTGAGATTCAGAGCTCTGATTTATCAGAGTGTTAATGCTCTGCTCAGTTGTTTGAGAACTTGTAGGCTTTCTAGCCCCACTATTTGACACTGCAGACCCAGATTGCTGGTTTTTGTGCGACTGCTGTGTGGATCGTTGGTCCATGTAGGCGGCAATTTCTGGCTGTTCTTCAGTCTCAGCATTTTCCTCTAAAGAACCTTCCTCGATTGCGAGGTGGTCAATAGTGTCCTTCATCTGATCGAGGGATTCAGTCATGTTAAACTTCAGTGAAGTGATGGAAGAAACTAGCAGCTCCCTCATGGAACTGATGGCCGCGACGATGGCCGACTCGCTGTTGCTTGGCGCAGCGCCCTTTTCAGCAAGTTGAGACTGTCATTTTCAGCTCTATTGACGATTTTTTGCTTCCAGTTTGGTACGTAAACACCTTCTAATATACCTCACGGCTAAATTGAGAAAATTTCTCGAATTAACTGTTCTTACACAGCGCCTTTCCAAATATTTCTTCTAGTTGTTTTGAGCTGACCGACTCGAGCAAAGGCAGGAAGTGCACTGACCACTTGAGCGGCTGGTGCTTTCTCACGTGACTTCGTAGTGCGTGTGATGACGAGGCAGAATTAATAAATTCTTTTTAAATTATAGCTTTTTTGCGCAGACTCGGAAGAATCCCGTATGAATAGAATAAACAAGTCGGTGTACGGGTCCCGTATGAATAGCCACTGCGTTTCACAAAACTTTGTCTGAAATGAACCTCACGACGGTTACGACCTGCTACAAAGTAACACTGGTGTAAATATACAGAAAGAAAGCACAGAAAATCGTACAACTTCATCACAATAAGTCCTGGAGTTTGGTTTTGTAAAGATTTAACCTCTATTCTGAAAATATCGGCCGTTGTATACTATTGTTGTCATCGAACTTTTCGCGGTAAAATCAGCCATTTTGAAGTGGGTCAAGATCTAACAAAGCACCCTGAGTATTTCCTATTTCGTGCGGCGAGTGTGGCAGTGGTTTAGTTGTCTGTCTTACCTTCTTTTCCAACGGACCTCTCTCAAGGTTAAAAGTAGGCAGTTGGGGACTGCATGTGGCTACCTTAGATGGAAATAATTGAGTAAAACTCTTCGTTTTGATAGGCTGGCCTTAAAATCATGTGGTAGAAGTTTGCTTTGGTCACCTGGAGTCTGCTTTTGTATTGACCGAAATTCACTTGTTGTCTTACTTGAAAAAAGAAAATGTTTAGAAATGTAAGGTAAAAGGTAAAGTTTGCATAGGAGCAAAGTTGCCCATCAGGTGAGGGCTCATCTTGGGTTTCTTTAGCATGAAGCAACTAGGAGTATTTCTACCTGTTCTCACAAAGGTCTCTAGAACCTCTAATTTCACTGGATCTTGTTGACACGAAGCTCCGTTGTTTCAGGGCTAGGGTCCATTGTTACTATCGTTTGTAGATCATTATCTTTCTCAGCCAATCCTGTGAGATGTTGCGGAGAGCTTTGTGGCANCTAATATTTAATATAGGATCACTAATAACAGAAACTCAACAACCAAAGTAATAATTTCTTGAGTGGACCAATGTCTCTTTGTTGTAGAGGTGTTCACCAGTTGATGCACAGGTAACATGTTGAATGTCACTGAATTAAATGTCAACCATTGTTGTAGTGTCGCAAAATCTTTAATTGTAACTGGAACAGACTCAGATATCCAAGAAGAGTTTACATCAAAAGTAAAACAGATCCAAGGTATTTAAAACGCCCTTAGGCGTGGGAGCCAAGCCTGGAATAACCAGGGATACCAGGATATAACATCCCATCCTAACTTATTTAAAGTTCAAAGTCCACTATAACAACACAACTTAAACATACAAGAAGCATAAAGACTTCACAACAATATTTTTTTTTTTAGTAATGTTCTGGTCGTAAACAAAGTCAGCATCTCTCTTTGGCTTTGGTGTTCGAGTTGAACGTCTCAATTCCATTGCTGAGTTGGTAGGACCACTATCTGCGGGAGTCCTATCATCTGAGGGTGTAGTTCCGAGTTGATCCAAAGGAGGCATCGCTGCCCCAGCGAACTCTTCCAACTCCAAGCAGCTGTATTCATTCTCATCATTAACTGGTAGCTCCATGCGTGGAACTCTACTAAGAAACTTCACATTACGAGTGAGACGTTGTCCAGTCTCAGCATTGACAAGTTCAAAAGTATCTGGTCCTTTGCTATGAACAATTACATACATCTGATGAGCGAAAGTGGGAATAAATTTCCCAGATTTTGTATTTGCTACAAATACAATATCCCCACGTACTAGGTTATGTTGTTGTGCATGTCGCTGGCCATCAGTATACTTACATAACTTCCTCTGATATCCTTGTACCTCTCTTCAGGGTTTTTCTGATCCATTTCTGGTAGTGTTGACAACTTTTTTGTTATCTGTCTGTTGAGAAACAGTTTAGCTGGGGTCATGTCAGTCCCGACATGTGGAGTGGATCTGTAAGCTTGCAGGATTGTGGGCAGAACCTCTGTCCAGGATAAACCATCTAACTCTGCTGCTCTGATACTGTGCTTTAGGTACCTATAGAATCTTTCAACCTGCCCATTTGCTTTTGGAAAATAGGGTTTGGAATTCTTCAACTACGAACTGATGTCCTTGTCTGTAATTAGAACTTTTGGATTTCCAAATCGTGCAAATATATCTGGAAGTGCAGTGACTATACTCTCACTTGTAATTCGCTTAAGGACAATAGCCTCGGGCCATTTGCTTCTGTAATCAACAACAGTCATGATGAAGATCTCTCCAGGAAATGGACCCACCAGTTTAAGGGCACACTTCTCCTAGCAGTAATCGGGAAGAGGAGTTGCTGTATTAGGTGTGTCTCGTCGTAATGGCTGAAGGCGCACACGTCTCGCAATTTTGGCAGAAGTCTTCAATGTCAGAGTCTATCCCCGGCCAGAACAGGATTCTACGAAGGTGTTGCTTGCAGTGCACAATACCTTTATGAGCCTTATGTGCCAAGGTCAATGCCTTTTTTCTCAACTTCTCAGGAACAAATTCGTTGACCTCGCCACAGTAGGCCCTGTGCAAAACTCAGTTCATCTTAAAAATTTTTCCATTTATTACCTACCAGGTTCTGGGTTCCATCAAGTACCTTCAGTACCTCTAGTAATTCAGGGTCAGACTCTCCAGCCTCTTTTATTTCATCAATTGAGAGCAAAGCATCAGCACTTTTGATAAAGTGTACATGCTCCTCAACAAAACTTGTTTCCATAACAGTAGTGTTCAAAGATAATCTTGATAGTCCATCTGTAATGTTCTCAGATCCAGGTTCATAAGCTAGTGTGAAGTCGTAGTCCTGACATCTCAGAGCAATCTGTTCAAGGTGAATTGATTGAGTGTTTTTATTAAATATGCTAAGCAGTGGTATATTGAATATGCTAAGCAGTGATCAGTCGAGACGACTACGTGGCGACCATAAATGTAAGAATGCATCTTCTGCAATCCGAACAGCACAGCCATTGCCTCTCGTTCGATCTGTGAATATCTCTTCTCTGCAGCAGTTAGACTTCTGGTCGCATAAGATATGGGCTGCCATCGGCTGTCAACATTTTGCAGCAAGACACACCCAAGACCGACTGGGCTGGCGTCTACTACAAGTTTAGTGTTGGGTTTCAATGAGTAGTGTGCAAGGCATGGTGCTATAATCAGAAGCTCTTTAACTTCCTCAAAGGCTTTGGATTTTGTTGTACTCCATTTCCACACCACACCCTTCTGCGTAAGATTTCGTAAGGGAGTGATCACTGTTGCAAGGTTGGAAACAAGCTGTGTAAGGTATGTAATACTTCCCAGAAATGATCTCAGTTCAGCTTGGTTTTGAGGTACTGGTGCATCTGCAATGGCTTTTACCTTGTCAGGGTCAGGCTTAATGCCCTTGGCGGAGATGATGTGTCCTAGAAATTTCAGCTCAGACATGCCCAAGGCACACTTGTCTACATTGAGACGAAGGCCACACACTTGAAGTTTATCCATAACTGCACCAAGATTCTTCTAATGTTCTTCTGGTGTTGACCCGTACACCACAACATCATCAAAGTAGCTAAGCACACCTGATAAGCCTTCACACATTATGCTCATAATCCTTTGGTACACCTCTGGTGCTGACGCAAGTCCAAAGGGCAGCCTTTTGAACTGATACACTTTACCTGTGGCTCTGAACAACGTAATTTCTCTAGATTCTTCCGCTAGGTGAACCTGCCAATATGCTTTCCTTAGATCCAGAGTCAATAACAACCGAGTCCCATTCAGTTGCCGTAACAGGTCTTGGATTCTAGGAATTTGAAACCGCTCTCTTATCACTGCTTTATTGGCTTCCCTGAGATCAACGCACACCCTCAATTCCCCATTCCCCTTGTAAACAATCTGCACAGGTGATATCCACGATGCTCCTGCCGCTTCTTCAATCACTTGTTCTTGAATGATTCGTTCTATTTCTTGTTTCAATCTCTCCTCCAAGGGTGCTGGGACCGGCCTTTGTTTTTTGTACCTTGGAAGGGACATCTGAATTGATTTTAATTTTGTACTCATAATTCTTAAAGTCCCTGCGCCCTTCCTTAAAGAGATTTTCATACTGATAAATCCTCTCTCTCTCCTGGGTTGGGTTCTCCCCTACTGCATGGATTTTTACAAGGTTGAAGGTGGACAGGGCGCTTCTTCCCAACAGGGGGGGGGGCCTTCCACATCGATCACATACACTGGCCCCATTACTTCCATCTTGTTGCATCTCGGTTTAGCATCAAATACTCCTAAACACTTGAGATCTCCTCCACCAAAAGCTGAAAACTTGATGACGTTGGTTGAGTTAAGAGGAATGTTCGGGTTGTTTTAAACCATTGTTTAGGGATCAAAGTCTTAGCACAGCCAGTGTCAATCATCATTTGAACAAGTTTACCATTGATTTCAACATCAGTTTCAACACCCAGCCCCTCATTATTAGTAGTATAACAAACATGTTCAGGGTTAGACTTATCTCACTGTCGCTGGACTGGCTGGACAAACTTTACATCGGTCACGGCTCCATGCGCTCCGAGGCAATTCTCGTTTTCTTGCCGCTCAACTTGTGGATTCTCGACTGGCAGAAACATATTCGCGTTCCTAACACTCGTGGAGTTTCCAACCTGTTCACAAATGGATCCCAGAGGCAAATTTCAACTTACTACTGCTCACTGCCTTGCAAAGCTGACTTCCTCTGGATGAAAGTCAAGAACTATTCTGGTCTCAGGATCAGTTGATATCCAAACTCTACCTCTACTTTTCAACTCAGCTGTTTAACCATCAGTGGCGACATTTGTCCCAATCCTGGACCTCCAAGAAAGCCAAACATTCAAACCAGCGTTGGTTTGAGTGTCCTTTATTTAAACGCAAGAAGTGTCAAAGCTTTCGTCCCGCTCGATGGTAATCGTTCATGTAAGATATGCAAATTAACTATTTTACAACAGTTGGTTTTCCGCTGTTCAGTTTCGTACGATGTGTTGTGTCCATCTGCGAGACTTGGTTCAACGATACATTACTATCATCTGAAATACTAACTGGGTACAGTATCTAGCGTAAGGACAGATCAGGAAAGACTGGAGGTGGAGTACTGATTGCTGTTAGACATGACATCCAGTCTAACTGCCGTTCTGACCTCGAAAGTGATCAAATCGAACTAGTAGCTGTTGAGCTGTTTAAGGATGGCTGTAAACCACTTATCCTTTACGCTTTTTATCATCCAGATCCTGGTCCGGATGACCTGACTCTGTTGAACCGCTCTCTTGAACAAAATCCCGAAACAGCCTGCAATGTCTTAGTAGGCGATTTTAATCCTCCATCAATTAAATGGTCGCTAGACGAGTCTACCCCAACTAACCTAGGTGGAACAGCAGAAGAGCAAGCTTTTTCCATCCTTATGGAGGATAATTTTCTCCGTCAGTTTATCAAAGGTCCGATGCATATTGCCGGGAACAAACTTGATCTGCTTTTATGTAACCTCTCTTAAGTCACAGACCATGTTTCCACTACTACTCCTTCGCAAAATGATTTTCCTTCTGATCATTATTCGGTGGACTTTTTTATTCGACTGAAATTCAAGCGATCAAAGCATGTGCGATGTAAAACGTACAACTACAAAAGAGCAGATTTTGACGATCTGCGAAGCCGTCTACAGCTATTACCCTTTGATATATCGCACTCTGACGATGTTGACATGTACTGGTCTCAGTGGAAAGATTTATTTCTAGCAGCAGTTGCTGAATGTGTCCCAGTGAAGACCATCAGTGAAAGAAACTCTCCTCCATGGATAGACAGGGAAGTTAAGCTTGCCCTACGTAGAAAGTACCGTGCCCTAAGAAAATATCGCGAAAACAGAACCGTGGAACGGAGGTTAAAGTTGAGATCTTTAAGCAATGAAATTAAGAAACTTGTCCGACAAAAACATCGCGATTATCTCCTTAAAATTGAAGGCTCTTTAAAGGAAAATCCTAACCTATTTTGAAGCTACCACAAAGTTATTCTACACCATGCATTGGGCTCGACAACTGAGATTACCTTTGACGGAAAAACAGCAAAAACTGCAGCCGGAAAGGCTGAGTTCTTTAACGCTTATTTCTGCTCTGTGTTTACATCATCTAAGCAGGACAAAGCGCGTTGTTTGCAATCTTATCACATGAGAATGAATATGGAAATTTCCGAGAACACACTATCCATCAACGAGGTGAGGGATTGCTTGTCTAATTTGGATCCGTCAAAAGCCACTGGTCCTGATGGAATTCCTGTGCGCATTCTTAAAGAGTGCGGCGAGCAGATTGCGCCAAGCCTTTGTGCTCCTTCAATCATTCTCTACGTGTCGGACGGTTTCCGTCAGATTGGAAGTCAGCTGATGTTAATCCATTTCATAAAAAAGATCTTTTGGAGCCAGCTGAAAATTATAGGCCAATCTCACTACTGCCAATTGTGAGTAAAGTTATGGAATGCTGCGTTTGTAACAGGCTTTACTCCCATGTTTCGCAGTCAATTACATCTTTACAACACGGATTCATGCGTTCCCGTTCATGCTCTTCGTAACTTTTGTCCGTTCTCCATTCAATTGGGGAGGCACTTATAAAAACAAACAGACGGATATTTTGTACCTTGATCACGTCGTTCTTATCTAAAAGCTGAAATGGTACGGTGTAACAGGTCAACTGATAGACCGGTTTTGCGACTATTTAAAGGACAGATCACAAAGAGTTGTGATTGACGGCACGGCCTCTGAGCGTCTGCCGGTCACTTCCGGTGTACCCCAGGGTAATCTTGTCGGCCCACTCCTTACCAATGATCTTCCTGATACCATCCATGAGCAAACCAGGACCGCCTTGTATGCTGAGCTGCATCGTACTATATTGACAGCTAAGGACTGTGATATTCTCCAGCAGGAACTGACAAGTTTGAACACCTGGAGCCATAAATCAAATATGAAGTTTAAAGTGCACCTAAACCCAAAATTTTTTTCCGCTTAACGAAATAAGCTTATTTTTTGGATTATTTCTGTGCAAAAATTTTTTAATTTGCTCAAATCTTTAATTTTCTATGCCCAGTCAAAATACGGAAAATCGGGCGCCATCTTGCCCCACGACCGAGTTTAAAGAAGAATGGCTCTAGCGGGTAATGTGACGTCAAATCGAGAACACGAAAGTCTGCATCTCACACATTTTCACTTGTTTGGGAAGATTGTCGTCGATATTGTCCGAAATATGCCGACTAGGTGTGTTGTATGAAGAATGTATGAAGCGCGATACCCTCTTGCAAATTTCGCACGTTGCTACATCCTTCTACAACACACTTAGTCGGCATATTTTCGGACAATTATCGACTACAACCTTCCCAAACAAGTGAAAATGTGTGAAATGCAGACTTTCGTGTTCTCGATTTGACGTCACATTACCCACTAGAGCCATTCCTCTTTAAACTCGGTCGTGGGGCAAGATGGCGGCCGATTTTCCGTATTTTGACTGGGCATAGAAAATTGAAGATTTGAGCAAATAAAAAAATTTTTGCGCAGAAATACTCAAAAAAATAAGCTTACTTCGTTAAGCGAAAAAAATTTTTTGGGTGTAGGTGCACTTTAACTAAAATAACA